GCGGCATGTGGGATCTTCCCGAAACGGGGCACGAACCCATGTCTCCTGCATCGGCAGGCGGACTCTCAAGCACTGCGCCACCAGGGAAGCCCCTATTTTCTGGGTTTTTGATGATAGCCGTCCAGATGGGCATGCGGTGTTATCTCATGGTGGTTTTGATTTGTATATCCCTGAGGATTAGTTATGTTGAGCATCTTTTCCTGTACTTGTTGGCCATTTGTATATCTTCCTTGGAAAAATGTCAGTTCAAGACCCTTGCCCATTTCCTAATTGGATTGCTAGATTTTTTTGTTGCTGAGTTGCCATAGGATTTAAATGTATCTTTTGACAGTGTAATATCTTCTGTGGGCAGATAAGCGTATTTGTTTGTTCGTTTGTTCAAGCACCCAGGAAACATATTTTGAGGGGCTCCTACGCAGCTGGCCCTGAGCTCAGAGCTCTGAGGGCTAGTGCATAGAACGTGATGCAGGAGCCCTTCAAGGTAACAAGCTGAAATCAAGCCCCGGCCAGAGCAGGACAGCGTGGTTTTAAAGTGAGAGTCAGCGTTGCCCAGGCCGCCTCTGCAGCCCCGAGAGGCAGAAGTGGTACAGGCTGCCTGAAATGAGGAATCGGAGAGATTCACGTAGCCAGAGAGACCCAAACTGGAAGGAATTCAGGGAGCTGCGAAGGATGGTATAGAAATGGGCAGCCAGGGAACCTTGGTGGGTAGCATCTGCTCTATGACCTGAGACTGGCAAGTAATATAAAGTCATAATAAGGCACGTTCAGGAGGAAGTGATAAACACAGGATGGGAAGCTGTGCTTGGACAGGAAATGCAGGTTCCTGTTTTAGAAGTGAGGTAGTCCTGGGTGATGAGGCGCGAACCCAGGAAGAGCTCGTGTGGAGCAGAGTTGGGGCCGTCAGCATGAGGCCAAGGTGTGTGGCAAAGTAAAGGTAGATATGGGAGTCCCTATGGACCTGGGATTGAAGGAGAGATTACCTTGTTTACACAGTAATTGTTACCCTACTGCCAGGGCATTGCTTAATACCTCTGGCATGTATTACACTTTTCTGTTTATTTGCCTTATTTTCTTAAAGTCAGAGACCACGGTTTGTTCATTTCTCTGACCTTCACTGTGCTTAGAATGTAGTAGAAACTCAACGGCCTCAACCGTTGCAAACGTTCTCATCAGCTAGCCCATGAAATTAACATAGGTCCTGAATTTAAACCATTTGAGGCTCAGGGATAAGAGAGGGGCTTGGCTCACCTTCCTTTGGAGAAAGCTGTTCACACAGTGTCTCAGCATTTTAACAAATTGTTGACTCTTTTTTCATTTGAGGGTCTGTTTCAACCATTGGAAAAATCGCCTCAGTGATATAAAGTTAAAGTAATGATGCTATTAAAAACCAAGTACAATACTGATTATATGTAGCACCAACTTAACTGTTGTCTGTAATGATTCTAGAATCACATGTCTGTACTATGCTATTCAGGTTGTCCAAAGGCAGGAACGTTTTTATAGCAGGAAGGAAGTTAGGCAATTTATTGGGCTGTTTATAAAAAGAACTAAATGCAGTTTAGGTTGGATAATTTATTTCCAAGTTAATGAGATTGTAGGTTATTGCGTACGAAGCCGTTGCCCAGCACAAACTTGCGGCAGAGCCTCTTTTTAAAACTGATTCTCCTGAGTTACTCATAACAGCAATGCCTGTGGCTGAAGCTCCTAGAAGGAAGTACACTGTAATTTATTTATTTTTTCCTTCCTGTCACAATTTAAAAGTCTAGAGTTGATCACACTAGGTGCTATCTGTAACCATCTACATGTCATTGCACATCTGATCCTTTGACCACAGATTTTGAGGGTTAGCACCTCTGACTGAAGTTCACAGGCTTCGGTAATTCAGGTCTGTGTGTTTTTTATTCGGTTGGATGGTTGGGTTTTTTGGGTGGGTTGGTTGGTTTGTGTGTGTGTTTTAGCTTTATGAACTTTTTTTGCATTAAAGGCAAGTTGGTGGAGTTGCCTTATATTCTGTAAGGTTCAGGTGTTGATGTAAGATATTTGGGTAGAAAATTAAAAGAGGAAGATGGTAGGTGTGGGAACCGAAAAATCAAGTGAGAGAGCGCATTTAAGGTCATAGACTTCCGTGCTCTTGAAGGAGAATTCTTTAGCAAAACTATTTTTGCCTTTTTTTTAATTGAGAATTAATTGTACCTGTTCTCTCAAAGCTGCCACAGGTGTGTTTTTCCCATTGTTTGCTGTAAGTAGCTGAGAAAGTCCCTTCTGGTCTGTCTGCTTATAAAATACAAGAACGGCATGTTCTTTGAAAACGGAGATTTGGGCGACTGAATCCTGAGCTAGCTTTTATTACTGCAGCTTAGTTGGTGGCCAGATCATTGTAACTTAATATTCAAAATTGTCCATGGCTCCAGCCAACACAGTGTTACGGTGAACAGTCACCACCTTGGTCTATTTAAAAGTGAACTCTTCTGGAAGGCTTTCCTCGCCTGTACAAACATTAAACACCCCCTTCTACCAGGGGCTGTGAAACATTTGAAGTGCATTTCCTCTAAGACAGAGATCTCCACCTTCTTCCTAGGGGAGCTCAGAAAGGAGGGAAAGCGATTGGGAGACAGGAGACCCCTCTGACATTCCCGGGATCTCACTCCTTATCCCGGGGCTCCATCAGCCAGCAGCTGCGTACCTGGATGGCCTCTTTTTCTCTTTCTTGGGCCAGTGTAGCTGGTTTGACCGTTTTGTTGTCTCTTGACTCCAATCCTGCTTGAATAGCTTATCTTTAACATGGAAAGGACACCCTGCTTTTTATTCCCCTTTAAATTTTTCGAGGACTCCACGCAGCGCACTGCTGCACACAGAAACGGTGGTGTGGTGAGCAAGCTTTCAGGTCCGGCCACAAGCGTCACCAACTCACTCATCTCAGGCTCTGCTGAAACTTCCTGCACGGAAGCTTTCTCTGCTCCCCTGTCTGAAACGATCCCGTTGCTCTGCCTCTAGCCCCTTATCCTTCTGTTGTTACCTCGTAGCATTCTTCACTAGCTGACACCATCAGGTGGTCCGGCCCTGTCACAGAGCCTGAGGCACTTCTCTCTCCCCCTCCCTCCTCTGAGCGTCAGCTCCGTGAAGGCAGGGAGCTTCTTTTATTCCGTGTCAATCCCCAAACGCTCAGCATGTGTCTGGCCCACTACACACATGTGACAGGGATTTACTGACTGACCGATTGACAGCTCAGGAGGCGAGTACGTGATTGGACGGATGCACGGCACGGATCGTGTAGCAGCAGGAGATGAGGTCGCCAGGTATTTAGCGTCTCTTCGCCTGCCATAAGGGGTTGAAACAGGCCGTTAACCTTCCGTGGTGCTGTGGCAGCGGAAGTAGGGTGAGCAGACTAACCTGCTTTCCTCGTAAGTAGCTGGCGTCTGACACAGAGAGAGGGGCAGCCTGACTGTCCATCGGCCACTCCTCTCGTACCTCTCCGGCCCAGGGACACCTGGCATCGGGCCAGCAAACTCACCAAAACACCGGGTTCCCGCCACACGGATACTCCCCGAAACGCAGCTCGTCGTCTTGCCCTTTTGCCTTAGATTTACGTGCCAAATACCTACACAAATTAAGTTCTAGCCATCGGTTCTAAAAATAGTCATCTTGTGCAGTTTGAGAAAGCGATGAAGTCCACACATTTACAGCTGAGTTTCTCCCTAGCAGACGGCAGCTGTTCAAAAACAAAAACATTCATTTGCGGGAGTCGCGTCTGTGTGCACCCTCGCGTGTTCCCAGGTTCGCTGGAAGAGAATGTTTGACACGGTTCTCTTCCGCTGCAGCTAATCCTGGTGGGTGGGACGTGCCTGGGGAAGATGAGCTTGGACGCGCTCTGCCGGG